TCTTAAATCTAAATATATATCCTAAATCTTAAATCTATCCAGGGTAATGTCAGCATACCACCAAGAAGGACCAACCACATCCAACAGGATTAACTGTGGACACAAGAGGAAGCTGTCTGAAAGGGATGTTGGTCTAAAACCAGGTGTTTCAGTGTCATTCTCTAAACCCTGTACATTCATGCCTCTGAGCAAAGATTCAAGAAAAATATAGTATATATGTCAAAGAAATTAAAAAAAAACCTCCACGTCTGACATCTGAGAAACAAGCAAAGTTTTGGAATAAACTCAGAATTTTCAGCTACTAGATCTGCCGCGTCTGAAGGTCTTTTTGAAAAAAAAAAAAGATTTAAATTTAGTATTTTAAAGCAGTTATGTAAATTTCCCCCCAGGAACACACATGGTTCTTGATAAACTACAGAATATTTTAATGAAAAACATCTCGTTGCTCATTCTGCCAATAACCAGTCTTATCTTCATGTTGCTGTAGTATTCAGCCCACATTTCATCCGAACACCTAACCATCAGCTCTAAAGGAGAACCACACAGAGGGAGTCTGCAGCCTGAAGAGAAATTCACAATCCTGCATGCGCAAAGTGTCAGGATATTGTAAGGTTGAACCCGAAAAGCAGGCAGAGCTGATGCCTCTCAACAAGAAGGCTGCCGGTTCAAATCCCAGCCCGGAGACCTTTCTGGGTAGTTGTTCTTATGTTCTCTCCGGGTACTCCGGCTTCCTCCCACAGACCAAAAACATGAATATTAGGCTAATTGGTAACTCTAAATTGTCCCTAGATGTGAGTGAGAGAGTGAATGGTTTTGTCTCTGTGTCTCCCTGTGATGGACTTGCGACCTGTCCAGGGTGTACCCCACCCCTCACACTGTGGCTGCTGGATATGGGCAGCAGTGACCCTGTGACCCTGAAAGGAAGAAGTGGGTATAGATAATGGATGGATGTTGTTTCATGAGGTTTTTGTGTATTTCATTAGCAAAATACCGAACTGTTTATCTCAAAGTGGGCGTCTCACTTCCTTCTGAAGAGACAGAGTGTCAAACCATCAGTTCTGCTTTAGATGCTTGTGAAATGAACTTATCACAAACACTGACAGAGGCTCTCCAGGRTAATYTATAASCACAGCATCATTAAATGGGTTTTATTTCTGTTGATTAAAACATTATTACAGCTGCTCTTRACTGCTACAGGTACAGACATGTAAAAGTGTTCTAATGTCCAAAAACATGGACAGTTTGGACATTTTCTCTGCTCTGTTTCTGTGCAGGATCATGAGGAGCTGGGCTTAATCTCCATCAGTTATTGTGAGCGATAAACTCTGAACATCTTACATAGAAACAACCATTAACACTTTACCTTACACTTGGTGATCATTTAGACTGAATAACACCTAACATGCTGAACTGTGGTGTGCTGGAGGAAACAAGTGGRCCTGAACAAAACCTTGTAGGCACAGGGAGAGGTTGGAAGCAGAGAGAAGGTGGGAGGTGGTCCTGCTCTGACGTCATTTCAGCTTTTTATAAAACATCTGATCATCAACAAACTTCACGTTTTATCACTGTTCAAACTTCAACACAAACTTCTAGAACACCTTTATCTGTCAACAGGATGTGCTGATGGACTTTCTTTTCTGACCTCTTTCACCAAAACAGGACAACAAATTTACCTTAGCTGGTCTTTCCACTAAAGACAAGAGAATTCATGTAATGTTTCAGTTTGAACCTAAAGTTACATCAGTAAGACCTCTGACAAACATGTTTCCATAAACAAATTACATTGTTCGGTCTGAACGCAGCATAACGCTGATTATTTTACCTGTGAATAGACAGCATCCCACCACTAGCATTTTTGTTGGCCCTTTTTCAGCTGCTAAACTAAATATTAGGAAGAAAAAGATAAAAATCACAAAGTTTTACAT